GGCGGGCATCTCCTCTCTGCACCGCGCTCAACCTTCAGACACCCCGATTTCCCCAGCCCGTGCGTATAACCCCAGCATGAGAGCTGAGGCTGAAAGGCAAGCCATGGAAAAGGCAATGAACCCAGCCCTCACCTGCAGCCACGCACGTGAGGAGAGGACTATGCACACGCCACAGCACGTACTGCAAGCATGGGAACCCCCTTGCTGCACACTCAGGCGTGTTGGATATGCACAAAGGGTATGTTTAAAACGGTCTGGCCGCCTCCTCTGGACTTAACTTCAGGTCTCAACATACGGGTGGATGGCGAGGATATAAATGAACCCACCGAGCTACCCACCCCCTACGACCGTACCTGGCACGTCTGGCCGGGGTTTTTTTTCTTCCCCAGGAAATGCTCTGCCCCAGTGCGAAGTTCATTCCCTGTGGCCTTCACTGGGTACACTGGTGGGTGGGGGTTACCAGCTGGGGACGAGCCCTCCCTGGCAAAGAAGTCTAGTGCATTTGGGCAGCTCCAAGTTGTCTCCGCAATGGTGGGCTCTGAATCTGACCAAGGGGAAAGTGCCAGGAGAGGGAGTTTGGGCGGCATTAGGGAGAGCTGGGGGTACAAGAGGACAGGAGAAGTGAGCTAACCCGGCACATACTCATCTGTGAGGATAAGATGTTGAAGCCAGCTCACATTCATTATTAACAGCCTCCCCTAGGAACCCAAGATCATTCACTCTTAAGCGGACTCAGGGCCTCGACTTCTTGCTAAGCAAAGTTCAGTACTGTAGCCATGGCAGGCACTACGTGGGGCTGGTGTTGACCGCAGGCTGGCATAAAGCAGGAGCAATGAGACTGAAATCAGTAGCTTTACACTCCCGCAGTCCCATGAGCATGAAGATCGGAATCTGGGGAAAAGGCTTCTTTTTTAAAAAACTATAGCAAATTGGATTTTTTTTTTCTAGATTGCAGATCCTACATTTCAAAGATAGAGGAAGCCGGGTCCTGCGCTCTCCATAGGCGCATGCATTATACATACTCGCTTCTTTTGGAGTGAATGATATTGCAGCTTTAAACGAGTGGCCGCGTAGGGCATTTTAAAATATTTTGAATTAATTTGAACTCTATTCTGGGATATATATTTTTTTAGAGGACGTGTCTGGCGAAATCCTATCCGGATCGTAATTGAAAGCCTTTTATTGAATGGCTGAGCCGGGGGAATGGGCACGTTTCTGAGCAGCCTTGCGGATGCGGGGTTCACAGAACTGGGAGAAAGTTGGTCTCTCCTGGGAAACTGTATCCACTGCTTTTTAAATCTCGCCTCTGTAAGGAATAGGCACGAGCGGGATTTTTGGCAGCCAGCAAACTTATTACAACTCAAATGTCCAGAGAGGATACCTTGATATTACTTGTGTACGCGTCTTTGCGGTACATTTCTGAGATATTTTTTTCTTTTTAAAGACTGGTAAATAATCACGATCCGCCCATTAAAAGCAAAAAAAACAAAACAAAACTCCCCAGATGCCTGGCAACTCGAAAACACAAGGCAACAAAGCTCTGCTTATGAAATACCCAGCACAGCTTTCTCCACTAGCTTTGCACCTCCCAAGTGTGACTTTCCGACTTCTCCAGATTCCGTGCAAGCATTTTATTACCCGCCTTGCTGGCTACAGTCCTCGTAAACGTGACCCCTGGAATGTGGAGCCGAATTCATTCCTGCTTAGCAAGGGGCAGAGAGATCTCCGGCAGCCAAAATACCTTAAAATAGTCTTTAACTAAAGGACCGTCAAGGGCTGAGTCTCATAAATGGTTATGAAATGGGAAACCCTTCACGCTTGGTCGATTCCTCCTTCCCCAGGAGTTACTGTTTCACAAAAAATGTATTTGCTTCCGCCCCTCCCCGCTGCACGTCCCAGGAGAAGTCCTGCCTGCTGGCTTAGGACCTTGCTGTTCACCGAGTTTTAAATTTCTTGGCCAGCTTATCTCGGGTTTCAGAGTATTATCTTAATCTGGGGTAAGCGTGGTAACGCCGCGATAAAAAGCACCAGGCCACCGTGTATTATGTGTCGATAAGTGTTGCAAACCCTTCCTGGCTTCACAGACGTGCTCCCTTTTCTATCATCTCTTACTCTTGCCAACGATTGAGTTTAGCAATGTCGGTACATTTGAGGGAGGGGGCGAGACCAGAAGAGGGATATCGTGGGAAGACATAAGCCGCCCATTACTGCGGCTTCAGTGTGTGTGGATTTGTCTCTTCTCACCACCTCCTAATCTTTCCCAAGCACAAGAAGAAAGCCTTTACATTTGCAGAGAATCATAAATAGGCAAGGGCAAAAGCTTCAAGAGCTGCGGAGGGAAGAACAGATCGTAACGCCTGATTATTTCAAAAAGCGCCCTCCTTTCTACATCTTAGTCTAGAGGCATTTGTGAACCACGACAGATCTACTGATCAC